GATGATGAGAGGCATAGATAGAGTGGATAGCCAGAGACCTTTTCCCAGGGAGGAAATGGCTCTCACGAGGGGGCATAATTTTAAGGTTATTGGAGAAAGGTATAGGGGAGATGTCAGAGGTAGGTTGTTTATACAGAGAGTGGTGGGTGTGTGGAATGCACTGCCAGCGGTGATGGTAGAGTCAGATACATTAGGGACATTTAAGTGACTCATGGATGATAGTAAAATGAAGGGTATGCAGGTTAGTTTGATCTTAGAGTATGATAATAGGTCAGCACAATATTGTCGGCCAAAGGGCCTGTACTGAGCTGTACTGTTCTATGTTTTTGATTCAATCACCCTTTCAAACAGTGATTTGCAGAGCATCACTGTTGTCTGGGTGAAAAACATCACCAACTCCTATCTAATCCCTTTGCTAATTATTTTCAATCTATGCTTTCTGGTTATTGACACCCCTTACTGCGGGGCAAAGATCCTTCTTACCTTCTTTAGCTAAGCCTCTCACACAGCTCAGTCAAATCTTTCCTGAACTTCCTATATTCTGAAATAAGCCTGTCTAATCTTTCCTTAAGGCTAAAAGTCTACAGTCCTGGCAGAGGAGTAACAGACCAATTCTGACAATGGTGTATACTGCACACAGCTATAGTGACTGAAAATGCTTTTTGACATCACCAGATCTGACAAGATCGGTCAATAATGGGCTATTTCCTTTTTGGTTCTGGGTAGATCAAATTATTCCATTCACACAATCTGCATTATATGCTACAGGTCCCGAAATCACTAGTTTCCAATTTCTTGGCCGTGGTTTCCTCCTTCTGCAACAAGAGCTGGTGAAGTCCCCATCAGAGATCTAACTCTTTGAAAAGTGGACCATTTAGATGGAAGAATATTTCAACTGCGAACTGAATGGAAGTGGAAAAGTAGGTCACGTCCAACCAAACAAGTTTGACCTGAACACCCCTCCATGCATTCCAAAACCTATCATTCCATTGGAAGAACTACTGCACATTGTGTTTAGGAACAGTTCACTATCAGACATATCTAAAAAAGACAGTTCAAGAGTTACAATTACCTCAATTCTTTCTTATCGACACTTTATACATTTTGTAAGACTTACTCAAGCTTGAAGAGTTATTCAGACATTATCTACATGGACTTTAGCAAGGCCTTTGATAAGGTAGGTTGTTCAATCAGGTTAAATCTCACAGGATCCACAGACAGCTAGCTAACTGGATACAAAATTGGCTTGACGGTAGAAGACAGAGGATTGTGGTAGAGGGCTGTTTTCAGACTGGAGGCCGATTTGGTGCTGGGCCCACTGTCATTCATCATTTAAATAAATGATTTATGATGAAAATTTAGGAGGTATGGTTAGTAAGTTTGCGGATGACATGAAGATTGGTGGTATAGTGGACAGTAAAGAAGGTTATCTGGGAATGCAGCAACATCTTGATCAACTAAGCCAGTGGGCTGAAGAATAGCAGATGGAGTTTAATTTAGATAAATGCAAGGTGCTGCATTTTGGTGGGTTAAACGAGGGCAGGACTTGCACAGTAAATGGTAGGGCCCTGATGAGTGCGATAGAACAAAGAGATCAAGGGGTTCAGGTTCATAGCTCCTTGAAACTGGAGTCACATGTAGACAGGGAGGTGAAGGCGGCTTTCGGCAGGCTTACTTTCATCAGTCAGAGCATTGAGTACATGACTTGGGACGTCTTGATGCAGCCTGTACAAGACGTTGGTGAGGCCACATTTGGAGTACTGTGTGCAGCTCCGATTGCCCTACTATGGAAAGGATATTATTAAGCTAGAAATAGTGCAGAAAAGATTTACTAGGATGTTATCTGGACTGGAAGGTTTGCGTTATAAGGCAATGTTGGATAGGCTGGGACTTTTTTTCCTGAAGTGTAGGAGACTGAGGGGTAGCCTTATTAGAAGTCTATAAAATCACGAGAGGCACAGATAAGCTAGCTAGCCAATAGCCTTTTCCCATAGTAGGAGTCTAAAATTAGAAGGCATTGGATAAGGTGAAAGGGAAGTGATACAAAAGGATCTAGAGGGGCACCTTTTTCACACAGAGGATGGCTAATATCTGAAATGAGCTACCAGAGGTAGTTGTGGAAGTGAGAACAATTTCATCATTTAAGAAATATTTAGACAGGTACATGGATGGAATAGGTATGGTGGGATGTGGACCAAACGCAGGCAAAGATGAATTTTTTTTTAATTGTGAAAATTAAGCGACATGGACAAGTTGGGCTGAAGGGCATGTTTCCATACTGTAAACCTCTATGACTCTATGAGTTGGCCCCAAATAGCAATCACCAGCTAGAAGTCCACCTCAAATTGCAGTAGCACACCACCACTTTGCCAATACATTGAAGTATCCACTCATCAGTTCAGGAGCATTGACCCTGATATATACAGTAGATGACAGTACAGAGGCTCATGCATGGATACATTCGGACCGGAAGAGGAGTGGAAAATGGGGGAGGCGTAGGGAGAGAAACAGGAGCTCCTTGTCAGACAATAAGGTTGAATTCCCACTCCTCAACCCCTGGATTCCAACGATAATAATTCTGTTTGATCATGAGAATTTGTTGGCATCTGCCCAGAACCTTCCAACAAAAGTAGTTAAATATAGAGAAATCCACCAGCCACATTGGAGAGTGTTACGTTCAAAACCCGTATTTAACCTTGGAGTGAGTGGCAATTCCATGGCTGCTTGCTGTGCAACCTCTCAGTTCCCACCATGTTTCAGGGAGTACTCGAGCCACACAATCGGACAGATGTTTTAATGAGCTTGTCTAAATAATGGACTTCCAAGAATGCAATTACCACCAATCATCCTGCACAACTGCAGATCAGATTGCACAGTGAAATGGAGGGGTCACAAGAGGTTAGATTCTCTTTCCCAGACTAACCAATACTTCCATACCACTCCTCTGTCTACTTTCCCCATCCTTCATGAATGTGCAATAAAAAGGAGGCTGGGCCAGGCAAGGTGTCAATCCACAGTCAGCACTGAAAGAATTCCCGAGACTATCTCCTGAGACTGTACCACAGATTCGGTTGTGTCCTGCCAGTGGAAGTCAGCTTAAGAAGAAGCACATATTAAGTGGCTAAAGGGAAGCACATGATCTCGTTCATGGTCATGATCTGGGGCTAGTATAAAAAATTTAAAACAAATGAACAGGATAAATATCAGGAGGGGATAGGAGGTAAACAATATCTTAAAGGTTGACATTCAAAGGGAGGAATCTCCAGACTTTATGGCTGAGAAGTTTGAAGGCAGAGCTGTCAAAAGTGAAATGAAGGAACTGTGCAATGAACAGGAACTAGATTGGGAGGAATACAAGTGCTGGACACAATTTCTATTTTTGGGTGGCACGGTGGCTCAGTGGTTAGCATTGCTGCCTCACAGTGCCAGAGACCCAGATCGATTCCAGCCTCGGGCAACTGTCTGTGTGGAGTTTGCACATTCTCCCCATGTCTGTGTGGGTTTCCTCTGGGTGCTCTGGTTTCCTCCCACAGTCCAAAGATGTGCAGGTTAGGTGAATTGGCCATGCTAAATTGCCCATAGGGATGTGTAGATTAGGTGCGTTATAGGGGGATGGGTCTGGGTGGGATGTTCTGAGGTTTGGTGTGGACTTGTTGGGCCAAAGGACCTGTTTCCACACTGTAGGGATTCTATGATTCTATCACTAGAGTGGCACCAGGGTTAAATGAGAATACGGTACCTCTGATCTGTTGCAAACATTACTGGTGGGGATCTGGGCACAATCCTGGATGCCATGTTCAGTGCCATTTCTATGTAATTTAAATGCATAAAAGATCCTGTGTCAGTATTTTGAAAAAGACAGGGGAGGTATTCTAATGTTCTGGCCATTATTTATCCTTCATCAGTAGCATAACGTAAAGATTACCTGGTCATTATCACATTGCTGTTTGTGGGAGCTGGATGTGTACAACTTTGAACTTTACTGGCTGAAACAAGTTTTAGGATGGTCCGAGGTCACAAAAGGCACTATATAAATGGAATTTTTTTTTAAAATCTGCACTTTTCCAGATTCCTATGCTGTCCTGTGGACTTCACACGAAGTGAGGACAATTTCTTATGAGATGGAACATGATATACTATCAGATAAGAGAGTTCAGTCTATGCAGCATACATTCAGTATTCAGTCCACATATAAGAAGCAGACATTTATGCAAGATATTGAGTCCAGTGTTTTCAAGACTAATAACTTTGTTTGGCTACATGAAATGTTCAAAAGCGGCAAAATTAACTGATAACTCATTGTTTGGTGCTTTATTGCTTTATTATCTGGTAAGAAGACTTTAGTAAAGATATGAACCCAGAGGAAAGAAAAACATTAGAAACAAGCACCCTTTAGCTCTATTTAATAAGTGGCTCAACCTATGCATATTGGTACAATGGGGAAAATGTGCTCAATTGGAAACTCATTTCTTATGGTTGCTGCTGTTCTTAAAATAGACTGGAGACCTGTAATGCGCATTGCTAAAAGAATGGAAAACCAGCTCTGTAAATCAGCCATGATGAGAGAGGCCTGAGGGCTGTTCATGGGACTACTCATTGTTTATCCATGGGTGACGTTAGAGCCTCTCAATCTTCTGCTAATTTCTGTCAGATGGAGACATTGGGAAGAGGAGCCAAAGTTGCATTTAAGAGAGATTGCCTGATCCTCATTCTGGAGCAGTATGATAGTTCACCCCATCTCACTACTAACCTCTCTACTAAATTAAAATCATGGTCATTAATGGCAGTTCCTTTAGGCAAAACAGGTTTAGGTGCAGCACAGGTTAGCGGAAACATTGTACACTAGCTTTCTCGATCCTATACAAGAAAACAGTTTGAAAATGAATGGGAGATAGAATCCTAAACAGTTTGGACATCATACTCTGACTTGCTGTAAAAAAGCAAAAACTATATTCTTAAAATACATGCAGGTTAGCACAATGATGAGGAAAACAGTGTACCGGATCTGCAAGAATTTGTTGACGAAGAAGCAGCTGTTTCTGTTGCTCCAATAGGTGCCGCTGCATGACCTGTTTCTTCTCAATCAACTGCTGCTTTATTGCTGCTTGCTGTGAATTGTTATTGTAGTTGTTGCCAGGGTTTGGACAGGTATTCGAAGTTTGGCTTGGACCTGGACCTGGCTCAACCAGAGAATTCTGATCCTGAGGAAGGAAAGAAAATATATTGCTTGTGCTAAATTTTTGAAAAACTAGCTTTGTAAGAGGGAAAAATGTAATATACAGAACATCTTGAAAAAAATTAACCACAGTTAATTCAGTATTGTATTATATGCATTTGTTTTATTCTTTTACATCATTGTAAGTTTATTTTCAGGGAAATTTAAGCTATTTTGTATTAGCAATTGCCATTCACAGAGAAGCCAAGTCAACTTTTTAATTACCTTCATTATTGTGTTCTGTAACCGGTGGTTACAGAACACAATAAGTCAGGGTGCGTGGTGGATTCCTGCAAATAAACATGTATCTTTAAAGGTTTCAAATGTTATGTGATTATTATTAAATATGTTTTAGTTAGGGTTGAAGTATTATTAGAAATGAAACTGTTGCATAATAATAATAAAAATATCCTGTTATATGAAGCCAAAAAAATTTTAAGATCAATTTCAAAATTATTGACATCTGTAAAAATTAACGAGCACAATGAACAATCAAGCTCTTGTCAGAATGTAAACAAAGGACCCTTTATGCAGATGTCCAATAGGATTCTAACTTACCACTCCTTCCAATGGGCCATCTATGAGCCAACACTACCCTGATACCATACGGGGAGGCATCGCATGTCAACACCAGATCTCGCTTGGGATCATACAGTGCAACTCCTCAGATGATGAAAGCTGGTTCTTCACTTCTCTAAAAACTACATCTTGGCTACAAGTTCATTTCCAAGGCTGATGCTTTTTCAACAGTAGATGTAAGGGTGCAGGATGGAGGCCAGGTTACATATGAATTTTCTGTAATAATTCACTGATCCAAGGAAAGTTCCACTGCCCTACCCTTGTCGATCATCTTTGTCACTTCCTCAAAAAGCTCAATCAAGTTACTGAGACACGAGCTCCTCTTCTCAAAACCATGTTGCCTCTCGCCAGTACGCCCACTTCTTTCCAATTGTGAGTAAATCCTATCTTGAAGAATCCTCTCCAATAATTTCCCTAACCCTGCAATTAGCTGGATTATCTTTGCCACCTTCTTTAAAAAAGGAACAACATTGGCTATTCTCCAATCCTCTGATCTAACCCTGTAGCCAGTGAGGATACAAAGATTTTGCTCAAGGCCCCAACAATTTCCTCCCTTGCCTCTCTCAGTATTCGGGGGTATATCCCATCAGGCCCTGGGGACTTGTCTACCTTTATGTTTTTCAAGACTCCCAATACCTCCTCCATTTTTGATCTCAACATGACCCAAACTATCTACACACCCTTACCCAGACTCATCATCCACCAAGTTCTTCTCTATGGTGAATACTGACGCAAAGTACTCATTTAATACCTCACCCATTTCCTCTGGCTTCACACATAAATTCCCTTCCCTGTTCTTGAATGGGCCAACCCTCTCCCTGGTTACCCTCTTGCTCTTTATATATGTACAAAAAGCCTTGGGATTTTCCTTAATCCTGTTGGCCAATGACTTTTCATGACCCCTTTCAACCCTCCTGACTCCTTGCTTAAGTTTCTTTCGACTTTACCAGCATTCCACCCTTATTTTGTGTATTCCCAGCCTCCTGGCCTTGACAAATGCTTCCTTTTTCTTTTTGATTTGGCTCACAATATCTCTCATTATCCAAGATTCCCCAAATTCACCATACTTATCCTTCATCCTTACAGGAATGTGCTGGTCCTGAGTTCCTAGCAACTTACCCTCGAAAACTTCCCACATACCAGATGTTGCTTTGCCCTCCAATCTACATTCTTCAGGTCCTGCCTAATATTGTTGTAAATAGCCTCCCCCAATTTAGCACCTTCACCTGACAACTGCACTTGTCTTTATCTATCAGTACCTGTAAAGCTTACAGAATTGTCATCACTGCTCCCGAGTTGCTCCCTTACTGAGACGTCGACCACCTGGCCAGGCTCATTCCCCAATACATGGTCCAGTACAGCCCATTTCCTAATTGGACTATCTACATACTGTTTCAAGAAGCCCTCCTAGATGCTCCTTACAAACTCTGTCCCATCTGCGCCCCAAGGCACTAAGTGAGTCCGAGGCAATATATGGGAAGTTAAAATCACCACGACAACAACCCTGTTACTTTTACATATTGCCAAAATTGGCCTACATATCTGTTCTTCTATCTCCCGCTGGCTGTTGGGAGGACTATAGTAAACCTTAAACATTGTAATTGCACCCTTCCTGTTCCTGAGCTCTACCCATATTGCGTCGCTGTATGAGCCATCCGAGGTGTCCTCCCATAGTCCAGCTGTGATAGTCTTCTTAACAAGTAGTGCAACTTCCCCACCCCTTTTACATCCCCCTCTATCCCGCCTGAAACATCTGTATCCTGGAACGTTAAGCTGCCAATCCTGTCCCTCCCTTAACCAAGTCTGTCCAGGGTGTGCACTCTCCTGGATACTGGCCTATGACTGCTTTTAGTCAATTCAGGTCTAGTGGACTTTTTTTGCCATCTTCAGTCTGCATACAGGCAGCAAATAAAATGACTTGCCTGCCCAGATCCTGAAAAAAATATTAACTATTTGGCCAAGGCTTGGCTTTGTTTTGGCGTTTTACAGTGGGCTATTCTAGAGTCCCTCTCTTCAGGATATGTCCTGAGTGAGGCTGTGTATTTGCCTTTATTGCTTTCCCCAATCTAAGTCAGCCTGGCGAGGGTGACAAAAGGTGATTTTGTCCTGGGTTTTTTGGAAGAGAGGTTGTCAAGCCAGAGTGCTGAAGTGTCACGGTTTAAGAGGCCTCAGGGTTTTTTGAAAACAGTCTAACAACAGAAGAGGAGTGGCCAGTTCTCCCAGTTCAGGCCTTCTAGTTTTGTTTAGCTGTAGCAGTCACAAGATGTTCAAGTCCCAGAAGGGTTGCAAGCTTCAGTAAATGATTCCTAATTGACTTTCTCTGAAACCTCTCTTGTTGTTCCCTCCTGGATTGGAATCCTACCTGTAAGAATTTGTGTTTGAATTTACCTTCTTGCCAAGGGGTATGTTTGTAGGATGTTACTATATTGGAACAGTTCATTCATAATTGTTACTGTATTGGGTTGGTTAAGTTTCCCAGTAGTTAAGTTATTCTAAATTCCGCGTTCTTTTGTTCATGTTTCAACAATAATGTTTAAATAATTTCTGTTTTGCTTTAAGCTGAGTGGTTTGATTAGTTGTATCATACCTGGAACACCCACTTCACATCTACCTTTAAAAATAAGAAAATGTTAGGATCTAGGCTACCTTCTTGAAATATTTTGAGGGGGGTCTGGCCTGGTCCATAACAATTTCCACTGACATACTCTGTAACTTGTATGCTCCACTTGCTACATTTTCTCATTTACACCTGACGAAGAGGAAGCACTCCAAAAGTTTGTGATCTCAAATAAACCTATTGGGCTATAAACTATAACCTATAACATGTGACTTCTGACATTGTCCATCCCAGTCCAACAGCAGCACCTCCACATCATGTTTGAAGTTCTGCTGGGCTTCAGCTAGTAAGTGCTTTTGCATGGTTACATCATTAAATCCCGAAGACCAAATGTCTTTCAGCATCTCATTAAGGGTTAAACCAAGCTCACACACCTCTGCCAAGCGTCCTAACCTTGTGAACAATCCCAACACAGATTCCACTGGTTCTCGAAATGCCGAGTAAAACCGATATCATCTCAGAATTAGAGGCGGCTTAGGGTTGTAATATTCCTTAGCTAAATATGTCAACTCTCGAAAGATTTTAGTATCTGGTGCCTCAGGAAACATTATGTTCCTGATAATCAAAAAAGCTGCAGGTCCACAAGCTGCCAGAAGAATAACTCATTGCTTTTCATCTGTCCTAATATCATTTGCCTGGAAAAAATTGCAGTCTTTCCAAATACTGGGCCTATTTTCTGACAGCAGGACTGGACAGGCCAAGCTTCCGAAAGAATAGCATGATGCCAGGAATGCTTGCCTCAACTAGAAGACAACTGCTGTGAGTGATTTTCTTCAGGAGCATTTTTTTTTTTCTCTCGCCACCACAGAAATAACTTTCAGAAGGTATTATTCCGTCACCAAGTCATCCTTTCTTTGCACGTGCATAGTACTTGACACTGGTCCAGTGTCCTCAGAGCCATCTTTCAGAGTGAACAGAACCTCTGACACTCCTATTTATATCTGTCAGCCAGGGCTCCCTGATTTGACCAGGTTAACAGTCTCGATCAGGGAACTCACATTCTATGAAGTTCATCTGGATGTCCTTGTCACAATCACTACAAAACCCAACTATTTTTGAATAAAGGGAGAACCATTTGAAATTCAACCTCAATGCTGCTGTATTATTCTGAAAAAAAGGGTCAATTTTTGATTTCAATTATAACTTAGCAGCTGAAGGTCCTGATGCTTCATAGAATTCTGAGCCAGTCCTTGCAGTTTCAAAATTGGTTAGACTGAGCTACCATTTTCCTAACAACTTTGTCAAATGTATGTTCTGCTAGAAATAAGAAACAGTTCTACTCCTCTGATAAATTTAAATTGATGAGCCTGCTGTGTTTTTGTTCATTGCACTTCAGCATTTTAGATCTTTCATATTCTCATGATTTTTCTTTTAAATATTCACATCCAGCTACATCCAGATATTATTATTTTGTTGTCAACCTTAGGAGACAGTCACTGTTGAAGTGTGTTTGCCTTTATCATAATTGCTGTAAATGAATTGTCAATGAAGATGTATGGCAAGCTAGCGCATACAAAAATTCTACCAAATAGACTGCAAAGTGAAATATTTTGGAGGAAGAAGAAATGAGCATATTAGAAGTATATGTCCATGATCTAAAGAAACAAAGGAAGTAGTTTTTACTAGTTCAGGAGTCTAGGACTAGGAACATAGATTAATCATTAGAGTTTCACAAATAAAATTAGGAAATAATACAAACAAAGGGTGGTAGAAGTTTGAAATTATTTTCTACGAATTGACATTGGATCAACTTTAAAACCGAGAGTGCTAGATTAGGCACAGTTATTAAGGAACGTGGAGTAAAGATGGGTACCTAAAGTTAATCACACATTAGCAATGATCTCACTTAATGAAGAAGAGGCTTGAAGACTAAATAGCCTGATCCTGTTGCTACAATCTTATCTTGGTTCACCTAAACCTGCTTCTGCAGTGAAAGGTGTGAAATTCAGCATTCATTTGTTTTGGAGTTCACAAATCCACTTCCTGAGGTAGTGAGAACTTACAGAGTCATAGAGTCATAGAGTAACACAGCATGGGAACAGGCCCTTCGGCCCAAACTGGACCATGCTGACCATGGTGCCCACTCAGTTAGTTCCATTTGCCCACATTTGGTCCATATCCCTCTAAACCCTTCCCATTCATGTACCTATCCAAGTGTTTTGTAAATGTTGCTATTGTACATGCCTCAACCACTTTCTCTGGTAGCCCATTCCATATATGCACGATTCTCTGTGTGAAGAAGTTGCCCTCAGGTCCTTCTTAAATCTTTCCTCTCTGACCTTAAACCTACGCCCTCTAGTTTTCAATTCCCCATCCCAGGGAAAAAGATGATATGCATTCATCCTGTCTATGCCCCTCATGACTTTATGCACCTCAGTAAGGTCATCCCTCATTCTCGTACGTTCCAAGGAGTAAAGTCCTATCCTGGCCAACCCCTCCCTATAACTCAGGCCCACTAATCCTGGAACATCCTCAGGTTTTCTCTGAGTGCTTCGGTTTCCTCCCACAGTCCAGAGCTGTGCAGGCTAGGTGGATTGGCCTTGCTAAATTGTCCATAGTATTCAGGATGTGTAGATTAGGTGCGGTATAGGGGAATGAGTCTGGGTGGATTGCTCTGAGAGTCAGTGTGGACTTGTTGGGCCGAAGGGCCTTTTTTCACACTGTGGGGATGCTATGATAAATCTTTTCACACATTCCAGTTTAAATATGTCTTTCCTATAACAGGGTGACCAAAACTGTACACAATACTCCAAGTGCAGCCGCATCAATGACTTATACAGCTGTAACATAATGTCCCAATTCCTATACTCAATGCCTTGACCAATGAAGGCTAGCATGTTAAATGCCTTCTTCAACACCCTGTCCAACTGTGACACCGCTTTCAACGAACTATATACTTGTACTCCTGGGTCCCTCTGTTCCATAACATTCTTCAGGATCTTACCATTTACTGTATAAGTTGGTTTGACTTTCCAAAGTGCAACACCTCACACTTATCTGCATTGAATTGCATTTGCCAATCCTCAGCCCACTTCTTCATCTGATCAAGATCCCTCTGTAATTTTTGATCACCTTCTTCCCTCTCAACGATACCTCCTAATTTTGTATCATCCGCAAACTTACTAATCATGCCTTATACTTTTACATCCAGATCATTCATGTAAATAAAAAATAACAAAGGTCCCAGTACTGACCTCTGTGGCACACCACTAGTCATGTGGAACAGCAGAGAGTTAAGTCTGCAAGATTCGCAGTAGAAATGGCAGATGATTATGAGTAGGTTCATAAAGTTTGGCTTCTGTCATCACTTTCAATCTGTGACGGATAGAACTTTGGGAAAAGAGAAATCCTTAGGTGGTAAGCAAAAGGAGACCTCACTGAAGATAGTAAAGATAGTTTACCATAAGGTAAAATGGAAACCTATGAGGGAGAATGAGACATAAAAAGGCTCAGGTGTTTTCATTGTAATAAAATAGGCCATGTGAAGGCGCACTGAGCAGATAGATGTGGGAATAAGCTGGGAACTACTAATCTAATTATGCATAACGTAGATATAGGAAATGCTGTTCCAGTTAAGCAACATCCTTAAAGGCTTAACCCTCTAAATTTGGCACAGGTTCAAAAAGAGATTGAAAGCATGCTCAAAGATAATTTAATCAGAGTGACTTGCAGTGGATGGACCTCACGCCATGTGATTATGTGTGGTCTATTACAAAATCAATGCAGTTACAAAATCTGATTCATGTCCTATTCCACATGTGGAGAATGTGGGACAAGCAACTTATTTTTCTTACAAAACAGAAATTGCTGGAAAAGCTCAGAAGGTCTCGCAGCATCTATGAAAAGAAACCAGAGTTAACATTTTGGGTCAGGTGACCCTTCCTTAGAACTGATGGTAGCTATGAAAATGTTGTTTTTTGTGCAGAAGATAGTGTGGGGGGAGGTGGTAAGGAGTAAATGATAGATGGTGGTAGAGCCCAAAGAGACAGAAAAACAGTTAGACAGACAAGGGAGTAGATAACCATCTGGCTAGGAGGATGAATGGCTGTTAATGGAGAGTCTTAGTGGTTAACAATGGTTGTGTGTAATAGCAGACTATGTGATCACAGGGCCTGGTATGTGGCAGTGGGGGCAGGATATTGGAGAGTTCAAGCCCTAAAGTTATTGAACACGATATTGATTCCAGAAGGTTACAGGGTTGCCAAGCGGAAAATGAGGTCAGCATACGCTGACCTTCACAATGCAGCAAACCTGAGACAGAGATATTAGCTAGGCAACAGGGTGGTGTGTTGAAGTGGCTTGCAACTGGAAGCTCAGGATAATTTTTGCGGGTAGATCGTAGGTTTTCTGCGAAGCGGTCACCCAGTCTACGCTTCATTTCCCCAATGTAGAGGAGACTATATTGTGAGCAGCGAATGCAGTAGGCTAGATTGTGTGAAGTGCAGGTGAACCAGTTTGGGCCCTTGGATACTGAGGAAGGAGGAGATAAATGGGCAAGTGTTAAACCTTCAGTGATTGCAGGGAAAGGTGCCATGGGGCTGTGGTGTGTTTGTAGGGAGTGAAGAATGAATGGACCAGGGTGTCCAGGAGGGATGGTCACAGCTGAAGGTGTACAAGGGAGGGGAGGGGAACATGTTTCTGGCATGTCGCTGGAGGTGGCAGACTGGTGGCTAATGATTTTCTGCACGTAGATGATGATGGGATGGCAGGTAAGGACCAGGGCAACCCTATCGCTATTGTGGGAGTGAAGAGAAAGGGTGACGGCTGAAGTGTGGAAGATGGGTCAGACCCGGCTGAGGGCCCTGTCAACAATGGTGCTGAAGAATTGTTAGTTGAGGAAAAGGTGGACAATTCGGACGCTCCCTTGTCCGAGCTGGCATCATCGGAACATACGTGACACAGACAGGAATTGGGAGAACAGAATTGAGTCTTTACAGGAAGCACAGTGCAAGGATGTATAAAAACCATAAGGACTGCAGATGTTGTAAATCAGAAACAAAAACAGAAGTTGCTGGAAAATCTCAGTAGGTCTGGCAGCATCTGTGAGGAGAAATCAGAGTTAACATTTTGGGTCTGTTTCTGAGGAAAGGTCACTGGATCCAAAACGTTAACTCTGATTTCTCTTCACAGATGTTGCCAGACCTGCTGAGCTTTTCCAGCAATTTCTGTTTTTGTTGTGAGGATGTACAAGTCCAGGTAACTATGGGATTTGGTGGTTTCATTATGGACATTTGTGGCCTGTTTATCCCCAAAAATAGAAACAGGGATGATGATGAAGGGAAGGGTGGAGTCAGAGATACAACAGGTGAAAGTGAGCGTGAGCTAGAAATTGGAAGCGAAATTGGAAAACCTGTCAAATTCTGGATGAGAGAGGGAAGGAGCACTAATGATATCATCGATATATTGTTGAAAGAGTTGTGGGTGGTGTCCGAAATGTGGCTGTAACAAGGAATGTTCCACGTACCCCACAAAGAAACAGGCATAACTAGGGCCCATGTGGATACCCATGGCCACCACTCTGACCTGAAGAAAATGACAGGAGTTAAAACAGAAGTTGTTTTGGGTGCGAATGAGCTCTGCCAGGCACAGGAGGGTGGTTGTGGGTGCAGACAGTTCAGGCCTTTGTTCCAGGAAGAAACAGAGAGCTCTGAGGCCATCATGGTGGTGGATGGATATGAAGGGGGATTGCACCTCCATAGTGAAGAGGAGGCAGCTGGAGCCTACAAACTGGAAATTCCGAAACTGGCATTTCCCAGCATCATTGTTGACAGGGCCGCTAACTGGGTCTGACTCATCTTCCGTATTTCGGCCTTCACCCCCTTTCTCTCCTCCTGCAACATAGATAGGGTTCCTCTTGTCCTTACCTACCATCCCACCATCAGAAACGTGTTCCCCTCCCCTCCTCTGTATGCCTTCTGCAGGGGCTGCTCTGTCTGGGACACACCCTGGTCCACTCATCCTTCACTCCCTACAAAACCCCTACAGCCCAATGGCACCTTTGCCTGCAATCACTGAAGGTTTAATACTTGCGCTCTTACCTCCTCCCTCCTCGGTATCCAGGGGTCCAAACATACATTCCAGGTGAAGCAGCACTTCACACAATTTAGTCTACTGCATTCGCTGTTCACAATGTGGTTTCCTCTATACTGGAGAAAAGAAAGTGTACACTGGGGTGACTGCTTCGCAAAACACCCATGTTCTGCCCGCAAAAAAGACCCTGAGTTTGCAGTTGCTGGCCACTTCAACACACCACCCTGTCCCTCGCCAATATCTCTGTCTCAGGCTTGTTATAGTGCTCAAGCGAGGGTCAGTGTAAGCTGGAAAAATAGCACCTCATTTCTGCTTGATGACCCTGCAGCCTTCTGGACTCAATATTGTGTTCAATAACTTTAGGGCTTGAACTCTTCTATGTCCTAGACCCCACCCCCACACGCCAGGCGTTGTGATCACATAGTGCTATTATACACACACATTGTTAGCCACTGAAAGTCTCCATCAACAGCTATTCACCCTCCTAGCCAGATCGTTATCCACTCCTTTGTCTGTCCAACTGTTCTTCTGTCGCTTTGGGCTCTATCCCCACCTTTCATTTACTCCTTACCCCCTCCCCAACCATTTTCGTAGCTACCATCAGTTCTGAGGAAGGGTCACTGGACCTAGAATGTGAACTCTGATTTCTCTTCATAGATGCTGCCAGACCTGCTGAACTTTTCAAGCAACATCTGTTTTTGTTTCTGATTTACAGCTTTGTAATTCTTTCAGTTTAAACTTATATTTCTAACTTGGACTTACTCAGAGTGTACTTGTGGGTACCTTTATCCAAAAGAGGGAAGGAAATTTTGGCTTTCATGACACCAGATGGACTGTACCAGTTGAAATTCATGCCATTTGACAGGAAAAATGTGTCAGCACATTCTAAAGACGAACCAATAAAGTCATTTCAGGATTACCGAATTGTGTGGTGTACATTGACAATCTGGTGATTTTTAGTCACACATGGAATGCATATTTACAGCATCTATCAGAATTGTTCGCTCGACTTTGGGAGGTGGGCTTGGTGATAAACTGGCTAAGTTCACAAAAGCCCAAATCACGTTCTGATACTCAGCCATGAGAAAAGTGCATCCCCATCCCTGACCACCTTAAGAGGTGATGACAAATTCTACATTGTTAAAGTCCATGATGGATTGCCCACCCTCAAAATGAGAAAATTCTTGACATACAGAGCAAACAACAAGACAGTTTTCCCTTGCTACTCAAATAAAACAGGAACATAGAGCAAGTAATCAGGAAAGCTAGTATAATGTTATGTTTTATTGTGAGGGAAACTGAATGGAAATGAAGAGAGGTTATGCTTCAGTTACACAAGGCATTGGTGCGACTGCATCTGGAGTACTGTGGACAGTAATGGTCACTGTACTTACAGAGGGATGATGATGTGTTAGAAGAAGTTCAGAGAAGCCTCATTAAACTAATACCTGGAATGTGCAGATTGCCTGATGAAGAAAGACTAGACAGGCTAGGCTTGTATCCTCTAAAGTTTAGAAGAGTCAGAGGTGACTTCATTTAAACATATCAGATCCTGAGGGGTCTTGACCGAGTGGATGTACAAGGGCTGTTTCTCTTGTGGGAGAATCTAGAAGTAGGGGTCATAGTGTAAAAGGAATTCCCTATTTAACACAGAGGTGAGGATTTTTTTTCCCCTCAGAGAGTTGAGAGTCTTTGGAATTCCCTTCCTCAAAAGGCCGTAGATACACCACCTTTAAATATTTTTAAGGCAGAGATAGATAAGGTTCTTGATTTCCAAGGGAATGAAAAATTATCAGCTGCAGTTCCTACTATCTCTGAAACAATTATCAGGTGCATGTAGGAATGTACAGTTAAGGTTAAAATCAGATCAGCCATGACCTTATTGAATGGCAGAGAAAGCTCGAAAAATTGACTGGCCTATTGCTGTTCCTTGTGTTCATGTGGGCTAAATAGTGCATCTGACTGCTGTCACCAAGTGGTAACATGGCAAATCAAAATTAGCCCTAGCATTTCATACAGAAGCTCCAATCTGGACATGAGGGAAGTGAATCATTTGTTGATAAGAAAAGCAATTCTGGAAATGAAGTAGAGATCCAATGAAGTTGTTTTAAAGTTAAAATTCTTATTTTAATTTTTGTTTTCTTTCCACGTTCAGTGTTGGAAATGGATTGCTTTCCATTCTGACCATCAAGTGTCAGTATTCCACATATCTACACTAGATTTCTACAGTCGAAGACATATTAATACTCCTCCTCTGTTACAACAATGACAAAACATTTTCCCAAACTGCCTTTTGTATCTAACAGTGAATGATGGTACAAAGAATAATCTATTGTTGTTAACAGGGAAGAAATCTTCCCTTGATATATCTGATTCCATTTCAAAACATCACTTCCCAAAACACTTGTATACATTTTCCATTTCTTAAAAAGTCAGCCTTGTAAGGCCTCTGAGTCTTCCAACTGGTGCTGACTGTCTTTTTTTATAGAATCCCTACAGTGTGGAAACGGGCCCTTCAACCCAACAAGTCCATACCGACCCTCAGAGCATCCCACCCAGACCCATCCCCCTATAACCCACCTAATCTACACATCGCTGAACACCACAGGCAATTTAGCATGGCCAATCCACCTTGCCCGCACACCTTGGACTGTGGGAGGAAACCAGAGCACCTGGAGGAAACCCACGCAGACACGGGGAGAATTTGCAAACTCCACACAGTCGCCCAAGGGTGGAATTGAACCCAGGTCCCTGGCGCTGTGAATAGGACATTTCTGTGTGTCAACATACAATGTGAAAGTGACTACATCAGTCTGAACAAATTCTACATAAGGCTATTTACAGTCAGTAGAAAGCCTTTATCAAGGTAAAGGCCATCTACATTCAAGGCTCTTTTTTAAAACCCTTGTTTTGGCACTGATACAGTGAACTGTGTTCCTGTATCCTTCCCACTTATAAGAAAACAAGACCCTGAAAACAGGAATGTCATGATGACTGAATTAGCTGCCTTTGTGATCAAAGTAAAAAAATGTTGTAAATAATCAGTCAGTCAATCAGGATCAATAGACGGAAACAGTGGACTTTTCAGGTTAATTATTTTTCATTGAGAGATTGGTGAACTGAAACATTTACATTGTTTGTCTCTCCTCAGATACTGCCTTACCGCTCAGCATTTCCAGCATCCACCTCTGAAACAGATGGGACTTGAAACCCCAGTCTCCTAACTTAAACTCATCTTTATGATGCTGATCACAAGACAAATATTGGCCAGGGTACTGGAATAACTCTCATTTTCTTCTTTGAAATAGTATGAGACCTTTTACAGCCAGGAAGTGAGATGCAATTTCAGTTTAACACCTCAACCAAATGACAGCAACTCTCACAACATAGCACTCCCTCATTTGACAATGGAACGTCAGATTCTGTGCTAAGTTCCTGAACTAGAAGTGAACCATAACCTTTAAAGTTCAGGTCTATCAACTACCTTGAGCCCATGTTTAACAGCATAGACATTAGTATTTAAAATCCTCTTATTTATGATTATATTATATGAAAAATTAACAATTAGAATGTATTTTTTTAAAAACAGAACAGAAAAATTTTTACCAGGAATGAACTTTGAAAAGTGCATTGTATTGATTCTCTAATTTTGTTGTATTTGTGATGGAATGGACCTTTAAATGTAAATTGCTCAGTTCACAGAAATCTTGATTAAATATTTCTTGGGAAATTTGTTACGCATTTATCAGCACCACAGCAATACCACACACTATTCTGTAATTAATATAGACAACACCTTTCAGTGCATAATTGTTTAAATAAACTGTAGTTATCATTTCAAAAATGGTTGGAATATATTAGAAGGTTATTTGAACAATGCCTTTAAAATGCAGCCAAGATTGAAGTAAGAAGAACATTGTCTTTGTAAATGTGCACACTAGTGCTGAAAAGCATGTGCATTAGTGAATTATACGATCAACAATATTCTGCATCCAACGCATTAGGTTTAGGTTCAGAGTCATATCTTGCAGAGAACAAAGAGCCCTCACATTCTCATAGCAACAGATAAAAAAAAAATGCCTTCTCACTAGCTTGCTACTATAATCAGGTCCTTAACAGGACCAAAGGTTGACAATGATTAATAATAAACCTCTCCTGGCTCCCAAGTCTTTTTGTACATGTCCAAGCAAATCATTGGAAAAATAAACCAGCTTTGCTTCCATTTCCAAAACTAGATTCTGGTGTGCAGTAGTAGCCTTTACTCATTTCATTTTGTCTTACTTTTAAAACTAGCTGTGCAAAGCAAATTATTTATTTTGTCATGGACCAGACCTAAACCCCTTCAAATATATAAAGTTGATAGCCTAGACCCTAACTTTTATCTTACTTAAGAGGCAAGTGTAAGGCACAGCATTCCAGATGTGATTTGATTGGTCAAACTACTGGGCTTTAAGCAAAATACTCTTTATTTTTACAACACAGTTAAAATACAAACAAAAAAATTGGCATAACTTTAACTCTATCGAAATACGTAATAAATAATAGATAACAAGGTGTAGAGCTGGATGAACACAGCAGGCCAAGCAGCAACAGAGGAGCAGGAAATAAATAATAAATAATATATTGTTTAACTATTACTCATCAACTGTTACAATATAGTGTATTCCATAAACACATCATTGGCAAAAGCCAAGCTCAGCAAGACAGATTTTACTTGCTATCTCCTCCAGCCTAGAAGAAGGAAACACTGAAAGAGTGAATCTAACAACAGAGGGAGAACTGAAGCTTTTGCATCAGCAGAGACAGAATGCTGTACAACTTCAAAACCCCCAATTTCAACAACTGAAAGCAAAACTAAAACTCTCTGTCTGTTGTGCCTGAATCCACCCACTCATGCTTCTTTTGTCAAATTTTTTTTTGAAAAAGCTATTTATTCTGCTTTCCACGAAGCACACATCTTGACACTAGGTTGACAACACCCCTCTTCGGGAGGAACAAACCTCTCTGGAAGACACATATCATCAAACTTTTGTAGGCCGGATTAATGTTTTGGTGTCAATAGTTAGCAATAATCGATGATGTGAAT